CTGGCGGCCATATCGCTCAAGAGGACTGGGGGCTGAATAAACAAAGGAAGAAATGATTAAATAAATAAACAAAACAGCAGCGGGAACGGTAACAACGTGGTAATCAAATCATTTACAAAATAAAAGCAAATTAGGGAAAATTGTATGAATTTTGCTCTCCCAACAGCCGCACATCAACGGTGGCAGGGAGCAGCATTCTGCGATGATTTCAACTTGTTAATGCAAAAGCAGCGCCAGCAGCAAACACGCATGCGACACGCCCCTTTAATGTACGCCCCCGACTTGGCCCGCAGCGTTTATTGCGCCCAGTTGTATGCTATATAATTTTGGTGAATTTCGTAAGAGAGTGTGTGGGTTTTTTTTTAATTTCGTCAGGGAATCGTTACAATTGAAGGTCGGAAATTATATATACAAGAAATTGTGAGTCCATATAAGGGCTTTTTGAAGTAGGGTTGTTATTTTTAAAGGAACACTTCAATAAATAATAATTAGATTACTTTTTATATATTTTCCTTAAAATTAAAAATAGTACTGAAAATCTCTGTAAATATTTAATTACATTTTAATACATTCCTTTGGCAGAGTATTCACATTTTCGGTTGCAACTTTGCCTGCGTTCTGGTTTTTTCAAATATTTGTTGTACTTCTTATTCAGTTAAATGCCCTTTTCTGTATATTCCCTTTTTTTTTTGCTTTTAAAGCGCCGAAATTGTGTAAGGCGTCTGCTATGGCCTTTTGGGGTGCTGATTCAGTTTGAGGTTCCTGGGGGGGTCGGCCCTCGAATGCTTCTTTGTGTGCCCCTGGGTGTGTGCTTGTATTTATGGCGTCTTTCGCCCTCAATTTCATTTGCAATTGAATTTGGGATTATTTTTCATTTTTGCTTGCGCATCTCACACATACACGCGCCGAGAGTAAAGGCCACAAGTGGCCTGAATGGGTCCCTGCCCGTAATTGGGAGAGGCAACTGGTTGGGGGCGGAAGCAATTGGGATCCTGGGATGGGAGCTGATGGGAAAACCCGGCTACAAAAGCCGCTTGCATGTCTGAACGTCGTTTGTCTCCAGCTCGTGCTGAATTTTTCCTGCTCTCGCTCTTATTTTCTTCACCAAGTGTATTTGAAAAACTAGAGAACGTTGCATAAGTTTGAATGTTTGCAATAAAATTTAATATGGCAAAAAGCTTTTAATTTAAATTTAGTATTGCCAAAGCCGAACTATTTTTCATTTCCCAATAACCAATAAAATAAAGTTGTCTATAAATTCAGGCCTAATAATTTATATTAAACCCGAAAGCGACTTTCAAAATAATCAATTGCAAGGTATTTCAAGCTTCGGTTTCGTGAGCTAGCTTTCTTTTTTTTGGAAGGGCTGAAAGGACGACAAAACCCAAGCTGCCCTGAGCTTGGCTGGCAACGGAAGTTGTAAAAATCATAAGTCGAGCGAGCGAGCGGGCGCGTGTCCTACGTTCAATTGGCACAACATGAAGGATACAAAATATATAAATAATATAAAATAAAAAGGCAGCAAAGAAAAAATCTTGTTCAAGTGCAGGAGTTGATCTGAACTCCAGTTGGAGCAGAGATAACACAAAAGTGCACTTTAATCTTTGTGCTGAAATCTCGACGCAGTCAAGCCAAGTAAAATTGAAGTGTCTTCCGTTGGATGAAGGGCTGGAACACGGAATGTGTCACAAAAAAATAAAGCTGGTGCTGAGTGCTCTTCTAATAATACACATATTTCTTATATACCCTTGCAGAGGATACTATAAGCAGGGGCTAGATTGACTTGGCTGTTGATGCTGATCAAATATTCGTCGTCGAAACTGTTTATGTTGGGTTACGAGATGAGGCGCTATTAAAGCACGGAATCAGAAGAAAGTTTTTTAGGATAGGACTGTGCAGGAACGCCCACTCTTGTACGTTGGCTATGAACAGCGGTTGATTGGCTTGTGAAACGGGATAGATAGATAGTCCAGCTCCCCTCTTTAGACCGCAGTTGTAACAACGGTCGACCAAGCTAGCATAAAAACCAAAAATCAGACAACATCTTGGGGTAGGCGTCGCAGCATCAGATAACGATTGAGTACAGCAGCCCCCACATAGTCTTCTGCGAACGAGAGCGACTGCAACAATACAGCTGCCCGGAAAGTGGGGAAAAACGAAAAGAAAACTTGGGCAAAGGCAAAGGCGTTGCAGCAAAATGAAATAAAAACGGGTCATTGGAGTAAGATGCGGCATGCAACAAAATGAAACAGAATGAGCGACATGAAGGCAGCTAGGCACACTCGAGGGGTTGCCTTTGATATGCAAATTGCATGCCACTGTGGATTTTCCAAGGGGCATAGCATTTACGGAAGCTGTGGTCGCTGCTGCCTCACTGGCTTCTCGAGGGTTTACGTATTTAGTGGCCCTCCCTCTATGTCTATGGCAGCGGCTTTTCCTGGGGAAGTATTCCACCTGCAACCGACAAACCCTGTGCACTGCGGAAAATATATAGATCTCTGATTTAACGAATCTTTAAATATAAATAATCTAATTTTATTTCCAAAGGCCAAATTTCGAATATGCTGCCTGCATTTTAAAATGTGCCTTTAATCTATAGAAGTGTAAGCAATTTATTATGATTTAGTTTTTTTGTTTAAATTTAATTATTATTTAGAAATTAGAAGTTTTATTCTTCAATCTAAGCTTAGACCCGTTGGGAATTCTAAGCGTCGATGCGAAGGCAAATAAACTATTGCCAATTTTCAAAGTTTGCTTTTGCCTTCGCATCGACGCTTAGGATTCCCAACGGGTCTAAGCTTAGATTAAAGACAAATTACCAAGAAAATTACCAATAGTTAGCAAGTGGTCTGATGATTTGGGTAGCGCCATGAAACGATCGTACTGCTACTTTTCTATTGACAAGTTCTTTTTGTTGTTTTTGGCTAAAGTCTCGCCTTTGATTTTTATTAAATCGAAGTCGACAGAGACCTCAAGTCCTGCAGAATATTATAAATTCTAAACCAATATAGGTGGATGTTACAAAATCAAAAAAGTTAGGAATTATGTTGAAAATGTTTAATGAATAAATAAATCAGGAGCGATGTCTGATTTAAAAATTAAGTTACAGTTGATTTGCATAGATCTCTGGTTGCTTACTTGTTGCAGTGCACAAAATTTGGGGTTTATGGCAAGAGACAGATCGGCGGGCAACGTTGCCGTCCTGCACTGACAAAGAACGGCAACAGCGCCAAAAATACTTGTAATAAAGACAAACAGTTCGGGAATGGGTAAATAAAATGCCAGCGCGAAGAAAACGAAGAAGAATAAGCAAATGCATAATGGTGATAGCAGCGGCAACAGAACCCACCAACGCCACTCGACCCCCTCCCGCTACTTGACACAATAGCATCAGCCAAATAAAAATTTATAGCTCCACTGAAAGCTGCAACGCTGCCACTGGGAGCTGGCTGGACTGGACACTGCTCCTCGTCCTCGTCCTGGCGCCAGGACGAATATCATCCTCGGTGTGCCAGTGCCAAGAAGAATGCTGGCGAAGTGGGGAACCTTGTTGCCTTGTGTTATGACTTTCCAGCCATTCGGTTCTGGCTGGCTAGCTGGCTGAGTGGGTGCTCACGGCGGGATGGAGCAGGGAGGGGCCAAAGTGTTTAAGTAGCAGCCAGGCGAATAGCTTGAAAAATGTTTAATGAAAAGCGCAGAGAGTGTATTTGAAATTGTAACAGGATGAATATGCTCCTCTCGAGTTTGTCTGCAGCTGCTCGTCTTTTGTTAGTTAAAAGTTTTTAACACGAAATAGTTTATAGATCTACAGATAATAGAATGATATCTAAAGTCGATGTACTCCAGTATAGAGGATTATTCGGACCTTACAGCGAAAGAAATCCAACTGTAATCCTTGAAAATATATAAAAAATAATTTGTAAAGTTCTAAAGACTCTAGGTCTCTAATTATTGCTAATTTTCTTGGTACTTCATCTTCCATCCAAGCTAGAACCCGTTGGGAATCCTAAGCGTCCATCTAAGCTAGAACCCGTTGGGAATCCTAAGCGTAGATGCGGAGTATAATAAATATTTTAGATAAATTATTGTATATTCAAACCCCATTAAGTATGCTATAGATTCCCTTAAATACTTCAACAACTCCTTAGTCCAACCCGAACTTAAAGACCTTCAGGTGATAACTTGCATCCATTTTTTCCTCAAAGGGCAAAATTTCGTTTCACTGCCCCAAATTCGGGCACTGGTTGCACGCTGGCCGTAACTCAGAAGATTATTCGGGAAATGAATGTAAATAGCGAGGAGCATTGAAGCCCTTGCAGCTTTTAAAAATGTGAACCGCTCCTTCCTGCCCTGTTGCATTGCATTCCATTCCCTTTTTGGTTTATTTAATGTTGACAGTCGCGTTGAGGGGGAATCGCGTGCAAAATGCGTCCTCGGACTGTGGATAAAAGCCAACTGCGCTGTAGGAAAGCAGCAGGAGCAGACCGCGCGGCAGTGACTGCGCTTAAACAATAAAACAATAAATTTTCATTACCGGCTCGGGGCTATTAACGGTTTCCGCTGGCCAAGACAATGCTTTCAAAGAACCAGCCTCCGGCGGGCAGGAGCCCGGCAAAGCTGTAAATATAATTGTTGATACACTTTTAAAGTGCAGCGCGGCGAAAAGGAGTATGCGACACCTTTCCGCTGCGATTTTTCAACGCTTCACTTTTTTCAGCTACACACCATTTATAATTTAAACATTTGACTTTGGCATTTGCATTAACATTCTGGCATTTCGCATTCGCATCTGTGTGCGGGTCTCGTTTTAATTACATTTTTTGTGGCTTTACTCGGCGAGGTCATAAATTATTTTTCCGCTGAATTCCAAAAGGAACGGGGGACCCCAAATGCCGGACTGCATCAGCAAATTAACATTCTTCTTTCTTCCCTTTTTTACGGGCAGAACACCAACTTGCCTCCCCATTTATTCATTCTCCGCCTTTGTTCTGGCTTTGCAGGTCACGTGGCCGGCTGTGGCATTACGGACGAGGTCTCACAATGGATGGAGAACATACAAAATTCAGCCGTCGAAGAGCTACCGGAGCCCATGTCAAAGGACTACCAGAAGCTCCACCGGAAGCAGCTGCACAAAAAGTCCGCCCCCCAGCAAGAGCCGCATCCGCATCCGCCGAAGAAGTACATCAGCGGCGATGACGACTTCAAGTACCCCCATCAGAAGTACTCGAAGGAGGCGAACTTCGCCGAGGGTGCCTTCTACGATCCATCCACCGGAAGTCGCCTGGGCTCATCCGCCAACCTGGCCGACTGGCATCAGCTTGTCCACGAGCGAGTGCGTCGGGCCACCGACGGTGCAGGTGGGAGCGGTGGCTCATCGGGTGGACCAGGACGTGGCCGCGAGGATAACAAGAATACCTGCTCGCTCTACATTCAAACGGATCCATTAATCTGGCGCCATATACGCGAAGGAATTGCTGATGTAAGTCGCAAAAGTAAAATGCCATATTCGGAATTAGAAATTTTTTATTTAAATATAAAAATCATTAAGATGATACGTAAACGTACGAGCCCTAAATAACGCTAAGTTACTCATGCTTTTTTAAGTAACAATTATAGTATATTTTTGGATTCCATTGAATGTTGAACTTTAATATTTTAAAAGTGACTTTTCCTGTTTAATATGCCAAAGATAAGCAAATCTCTTAAGGATGTAAAAATCCTACGCAGGGCGCACCTTCAGCACGCACGCCCACAAAAGTTTAATTCAGTATTCATGAATTTTGTATTTTTTTTTTTACGAGTCAACAGAATTTGCTAGAAAGTGAAGTACCCATAAAACAAAGGCGAATCTAAAGTTTCCAGATTAACATGGGCTCAGGGACACGTACCTACCTTGGTTATTATTTTTTTGTGTGTACATTCATTTTTTTGGAAGATATGAATACCCAAAGAAATCGTTAGTGACATAGACAATATCTTAAAGGCTGACATGGTTCCATGTTCAAGACAATATTTCAATAATTACAGTTTGGTTAATAACTGAAATATTTTGTCTCCATATATGGTAGAAACGACTTCATCTTAATGTGTTTATTACAATAAAGTTAGGCATAGTTTTAAATTATATAAAAAATTATTTGGCCATATAAAATGCCTATTTAAATATCTGGTATGTCTATTACAATCATAAACCTGTGCACCTAGTAGTTGAACGATTTTTGTACGCTCATAAAAATCCTTAGTGGCATTCCACAAAACTGCCTACTTTTTAGGGCATCTGCAAAAAAAGCTAACATATCCTAGCAATCATCCAATCAGCTGACCTCCTTCGGCCTCGTACAGCGTATGCAATCAACCGTTATGACCCGCAACCATCTCACTCTGCATAGATACAACAGCGGTCAAGAAAATATCTCTTAAATGATGTATTACCATTGTATTCGCTTATCCCGAATTATTAGGAAATATTTCACTTAATAATTAAATACTCATAATGAGAGACAGTAGTCACCTTGCACTTTTATTGTGACCGCGACTGTAACCTATTCATTTGAAGTAAATTCTCTCGCCGCACTTTTATGTTTACGCTCATTTTTTCGAATTGTGCCCGCGATGATGTCGACGTCAACATCCTCGTCACCAGAGTGCCAGCCTTATTTCCGCTTCCGCCTCGCCTCGTCCTTGTCTTATCCGTCTTGCCTTCTCGTTTGCTCGCGTGTGTTTATTTGCAATGAGTTTTGCATAATTCGCGCATTTGTTTCGCTCACTCTTTCCCTCAGTTCTCCCCATATTTCGCGTTTTTTCCACCATTCGTTCTCTTTTTCATTCACGTTTCAGCCTTTGTCTTTCGTGCCCCCCCAGGCATTTTGATTTTTGAGCCAGAATCGACGGGAGGTGGGATGCTGAATCCGGCTGTTTGGGGAATTTCCCCCAAAACCGTACAAGCTCCGGCTGAAATATTCGACGGGCTTAGCTGAATTTGCATTTTTATACAAATATATTTGAAGAGTGTTTGTTGTGGGAGTTTTGCCTGGATTGGATTGGATGAGCTCTAGATGAAGGGGCCTCCTAGGCTGGCAGCTGGGAGTGGGCCAAGGTAGTTTGTTGTCTGGCGTGCCGAGGAGGGAAAGGATTTTGAGCCCGTTTGCACAGATGTCAAGCGCATATCCGCTACCCAACGCATTGCGGTTTTCTGATTTTTATTACGATGCGGCTGCTCGGAGTGTCGATAGCGTTAATTAAATATGTCTACCTTGTCACGTAATAACCACAATCATGATTTTATACATGGTTTTCTTTGTTTTGTTTAGGTTTAAATTCTGGGCCTTTCTCAAGTACAATATATTTTCAAAGAATTTGGCTTAACCAAATTTTGAAAAAATGGTAACGAAAAAACAATCAAAATTAACATGTATGTGTAAATATGTACATATGATATGGTAATAAAAACGTGAACATAAAAACGACATTTCTCAAATTTCAAAATCAATGTTTGGTACTTTTGTAAATTTCAAAATGCAGGATACAGATTAGAGATATTAGAACAATATTTACATATTCAGGGTATTCCTATGGACTGAATTACTGAAAATATCGGCAAAGTATCCCGATAATTAGCCGCTATTTTCCGCAGTTTGTATGAGAACAGCGGTTTTTAGTTCAAAATATCATCAAATGATCGCGATACCTCGCCTATCTTTCCAGTAAGTAAGTCTTTCAGTCATCAAGCGAATACTCAGATTATTTATTTATTTATTGATCATAATAAATATTTACATTTAACGAAATACAAAAATATAGGAAAAATAGTAAGCTACTTTATGCCAAAAAGCTCACAAATATCTATGTAGCGACAAGGGGCAAGCTTAAATTGTTACGTTTTTTATAAAATGATCATAGTCTCGCGATAGTATCGATAGTAGGACCCAATATATCGAACAACATCGATCAACAAACTTGACAACGTACGAAATTTAAGTTAAGAGGATCTCTCTCTTAATAATATTTAAAGTGGTCTTTAGCAACAACTAGACCTTGAGTCTGAAGAACTTTGCAAATTCAAAATATTTATAAATATCTTACGTTCTGAATATTTTAAACTTTACAAATCGTAGTACGTTAATTTATTGTCAATACCAAACCACCAATGTAAACCTTTTTTGTCAACAGCATGATCGTGGACGCAAGTACGAGGTGGATGTGAAAACGCGCGAGGAAATTACATCGCTGATTGCACATCACGTGACGGCCGTTAATTACATTTACCGCAACACAAAGTTCGACGGACGCACAGAGCATCGCAACATTCGCTTTGAGGTGAGTACACACTCAGACACACACACCTGCAACAAGGCTCCGTCAGGCGCCGGGCAGTCAATGAGGATGAGTTAAGGACAAAGCGGCAGGAAGCCCCCTTCAAACTCCAAACCGACCACAACAGCCCGCTGGTAGCTGGTTAAATGTGGCATCGCCACGATGTGCGGACAGGTCTTAAGCGGAGTATGTGTATTAAAGCCAAGTCTGCATTGCACCTGACGCGCTTCTGCCAAACATTTCTAGCTCGTAATTCCATAATTCGATTACCCACCACACATTGCAAAAATTCGTAGATATTTATGTGAAATGCGGTTTATTTTGGACAGCTTTTCATGAATTATGACTGTTTTGGACAAGTCTAATTGTTGCTTTAAAATTAACACATTTTTTATACTTCAAATTGATTGCATTAAAACAATAACATTTTAGAGTTAAATTTATGGCAGCAATTGAATTAAACAATTAATTGATTTTTGTAGGTTCAACGAATCAAGATTGATGACGACTCGGCCTGCCGCAATTCCTATAATGGACCTCACAATGCATTTTGCAATGAGCACATGGATGTCTCCAACTTTTTGAATCTGCATTCACTGGAGGATCACTCTGACTTCTGCCTGGCTTATGTGTTCACCTACAGGTTGGTTATTGGCCAATGTGGACTTACTAAAAATAATATCAATATTATTACAGAGACTTCACTGGCGGAACTTTGGGCCTGGCATGGGTGGCAAGCGCTTCGGGAGCCTCTGGAGGTATTTGCGAAAAGTACAAGACGTACACGGAAACGGTAGGTGGACAGTACCAGAGCACGAAGCGATCTCTCAACACGGGCATCATCACGTTCGTGAACTACAATAGTCGGGTTCCCCCGAAGGTGTCCCAACTGACGCTGGCCCACGAGATAGGGCATAACTTTGGATCACCGGTAAGTTGATCGATAAATTTATTCTTTTGGGTAAACATTAAATATAAACAGGCTAGGTTTTCCTTTTACTAACAATTTTAAGTCTACACAACATTAAAAGCTTTTACAAGTGGAATACATTTGATGAACACTAATTTGAAGCTCTTGAAGAGAACTAATTGCCCTTCAAGAGGTTTGGTCCTATAGCAGATGTACTAAAGAGCGCATAAATTGAAATTTCCATAAGAAACCTCAGTTGCGCCTCTTTCGCTAGCATAATGTTAAGCGAAACCAAAAATGTCAGACTATACATAGATCAAGTAAATGCGTATGTCAGCGTACAGATCTAGAATCCCGTCTGGCTTTTGGCCTCCCTCCCCCTGTCTTTTCAACAAAATGTGATGAGCGCAAAAAAATCGTATGCCGTTACTCATCTTATTAATATAACCCTCTAGTGCCACTTTCCACAATAATGAACTTTCGGCCTACTTTTAGCACGACTACCCGCAGGAGTGTCGTCCAGGAGGTCTGAACGGAAACTACATCATGTTCGCCAGCGCCACCTCTGGCGATCGTCCAAACAACTCCAAGTTCTCGCCCTGCTCGATTCGCAACATTTCCAACGTTCTGGACGTGCTGGTTGGGAACTCCAAGCGGGACTGCTTCAAGGCCTCCGAGGGCGCCTTCTGCGGCAACAAGATCGTGGAGTCCGGCGAGGAGTGCGACTGTGGCTTCAACGAGGACGAGTGCAAGGACAAGTGCTGCTACCCCCGCCTGATCAGCGAATACGACCAGTCCCTGAACTCCAGCGCCAAGGGGTGCACGCGACGGGCCAAGACGCAGTGCTCGCCCTCGCAAGGTCCTTGCTGCCTGGCCAACTCCTGCACCTTCGTGCCCACTAGCTACCACCAGAAGTGCAAGGAGGAGACGGAGTGCAGCTGGTCAAGCACTTGCAACGGAACCACCGCCGAGTGCCCGGAGCCCCGTCACCGGGACGATAAGACGATGTGCAACAACGGCACAGCCCTATGCATTCGAGGCGAATGCAGTGGTTCCCCCTGCCTGCTCTGGAACATGACCAAGTGCTTCCTCTCGTCAGCGACGCTGCCGCACGTGGACAAGCGCAAGCTGTGCGACCTGGCCTGCCAGGACGGTAACGATGTGTCCACCTGCCGCAGCACCAGCGAGTTTGCCGCCAAGTATAATATCCAAAAGGGCGGAATCAGCCTGCAACCGGGCTCGCCCTGCGACAACTTCCAGGGGTACTGCGACGTGTTCCTCAAGTGCCGGGCCGTGGATGCCGATGGTCCGCTGGTGCGGCTCAAGAATCTCCTGCTAAACCGGGAGACTCTGCTCACGGTGGCCGAGTGGATAACCGGCAACTGGTATCTCGTGGTGCTGATGGGCGTTGCCTTCATCGTCGTAATGGGGGCGTTCATCAAGTGCTGTGCCGTGCACACGCCCAGTTCCAATCCCAAGAAGAGGCGAGCTCGACGCATCAGCGAAACTCTGAGAGCCCCCATGAACACACTGCGGAGAATGGTAAGGCCTGGCCCAAACAATATCTTTGATGTGAAGATGAAGTGTTTTTCTTGTTAACAAACCTTTTTCTAGCAACGTCACCCGCATCAGAGAGGAGCCGGACCCCGCAGCATTCCACCGCCGGCCCATGAGGCACAACACTACCCCCGCGGCGGAGATGGTCGCAGTGGCGGGGGCGGAGGAGGAGCTGGTCGCCATGGCGGCTCCCGGTCGCAGCACCATCAGTCACATCCCCACGAATGGGATCGCCATCAGGGCGGCCACTCAATCGTCCCATTGCCCACAGGCGGCAGCCACTCGAGCCGAAACGCCCCGGCGAATCAGGCACGGCGCAGCGATGGACGCGGCACAAGGTCCACGAGCAGCGGGCGGCCGCAGGCCGGAGCAGCTGCAGCAGCCGGAGGCTCGTCCAGCGGGGCGTCGCGATCACATGGCGGGTATGGAGCCGAACAGGCATTGCCGGGTACCATTGGTGGTGGTGTGCAGGCGGCCATAAGCGGCGGTGGTGTTGTGGCTAGGGCCCAGCTGCCGTTGCCATTGCCGCCGCCCAATGCACAGCAACTGCAATTGCAGCAACCACAACAACAACAACAACAGCCACAGCCGTTGCAACTACAGCAGCCGGCACTTTCGCCGCAGCAGCAGCAGCAACAGCAGCAAGCGTTCTACACGCCGAAAGGTGTGTGTTCCCCCTCCCCTCGAGAGATGGAGCCCTGAGTTGGTAGTTTGCCCCCAGACACACTGCTCCTCCGTTTTCTCACCTCTGTTTTCCAGTTCTCCAGTTTTTCACGAATTTAATTTGTCGTTTTTCTTTTTGTTTGCGAAATGCGCCAAAAATTCAGAACTTCCACCACGCAATAAGTCCCGATCATCACGTACCAACAACACCTCCACCACCACAACCACCAACTCATCCAACGCGGCCGCAAGCAGCGGGGCGGTAACGGGCTCGGGCTCGGGCACGGGGGCGGGCAGTAGTAGTAAGAACAAGAGCGGGAAGAGCGGCAAGGCCAAAGACACAAAGGTACACAAGTCGCAGGCCAGCAGCAGCAGTCGCAGCAGCAGCAAGGACAAGTCTGCCGCCAAGCCAGTTCGCCGCAATATCGTTTATTAGGAGCGGACCACACCACATCACATTGCCATACAGATTACTGAAAGACAGAGAGCCCGAACCTCAGAAAGACTAGCCGACAAATGCCCGCTGCCAGTCATCGATCCATGAGTTGTCGCTTCCCACCTACCACCACCAAAACACAAAAAAAGAAAAAATATAGTAAAACCAAAAAGATATTCCATTTGACAGATGCAATTGGTATGACCATTGTTCCTTTTTTTCCCCCACTTTTATTCGATTTCCCCCCCGTTTTGGTTTGTGACTGACCCCATTTATTGTTTTGGTCGTACTCTTTCTTGTCCCCTGTAATTGTTTGGTCGCATCCCCTACTCCTGGCATGTGTCCGTTCTCTGGATTTCCCCTCGTTTGTTATTTGCTCTGACTTCCCTTTAGTTTTTGATTATGTTTTTGTACTGTTGTTGTGTTTGTTATTGCATGAGCACATGGATACTTTAATTATCTCCTCGTACACCCATAAGTATTTGATCTAACAAGTACTAATCTTATTAAAAACTTGAATATAAGCAGGCAGATGGGTCTAACTAAGCCATGCCCAAGAGGTTTTTTATTGAGAATAACAGTTGATCGTTTTTGGGTCTCTCTTAACCCTAGACTCTAGGGCCTAGAGGCAATTATTACTACAATGTGTGGTTTGTACCACTTTCCACAATTATTTTCAATTTTCTAGGGAAATTTGTGCCTTCTAAACTCAAATAAGCTATTAAAAAGAACTTAGAACCTTTCGTTTATCACCATTTACTCCTAAAACGCATGCTTATTACATATTTTAATACTAAATTAACTTACTTTTCACTACGATAATAATGGTTTGGTTTAGTTTTATATTTTAACTTTTATAATCAAAAGAAATTCCATTTTGCTGCAGCTTAAATTTCACATTTTCTGTGCAAGTAAAAAGTAAAGTTAAAGGCTTCCGAGACCGTTCAAAGTTTTTAAACATAATTAGGCATCTATTTTTAAATGCTAAAAAATATTTAAACGTAGAAAGAGCTTTAATTTTTTTTTGAAGAAGACGAAAAGAAGTTTTCTGAGTAAGCATCGTGGAAAACAGTCAACTGTTATTAGCAAGTTGTGCTTTGTATTTACTCATTCTTCAGTTTAAATATTTAAAAACAAATCAATTGATTGCCACGATTAATTTACTTAACACCAATCACGATTCTAACCTGCATTTGAATAATTTTAGAATCCCAATTAATCCTCCACATGTTCTTTATGTAAATTATAAATACTTACAACACTAACACCAGAAATACCAATTTAAAGCCAAAATTTACTAATTTTAATTTTTCGCTTTGCTCCCTAGGCGTCGCGCCACCGCCGCTACAAGTAAGCTTTAGTCGGCCGACATCGTTGCACGAACAGCAGCAGCAGCAGCATCTCATGCAGCAGCATCTAGAGCCCCACGATCAACACGTCTATGCCGATGCCTATGCGGCCTTGGGGCGTGGCCAGTACGAGTCCACAGGGCGGGCGCCCAACAGTAGCAACAGCAACAGCAAGGTTTGACAGCCAAAAGCGGCGATGGAGCGGCCAAAAGCGCGGCCAAAGGCGAAACGAATCAAGCAGCAGCAGCAGCAGCCAACAACAACACAGCCCCCAAAGCAGCAGAAAAAGCAAAAGCAACAACAACAAAAATCAAATGAACTCAAATTAAATGTAAATGTAATTTTTATGCTAATTATTTTTATTTAAACCATGTTTGTATGCCACAAGGAAAAAAGCAGCCACAACAACAGGAACAAAAACGAAACGAGTTGGAAAAAATTGCGACAATTTCATAGAACAGATAAAGCTAAAAGTGAATGATATTTTGGAATAAATAAATTGAGAGGCAAATGCGTATGCAAATTATGATTAATATAAATCATTAAAAATAACAAAAGGCATGCATAATACCCACACAAACTGAGCCCATATACATATATGCATTTGTGTGTATATATATGGTATTCGCTGGGCTCACACAACAAATATTAAATAGCGCAGCAGCCACCACACACACAAATATAAATACATGCAAGGGAAACTAACGTTTAATGTGCGACAGCAAAAAGCATTCTATATGCGGTGGTCAGATTTCTAAAAGAATTAATTAAACATTTGATATCGCAAAAAGTGTGTTTTGTACAAAAAAAGTAAAATAAATAAAAACTGTTTGAATTAATTAAGCGAGCGTCGCCGAGGAGAGCGGAAACAGCAAAGCATTTAAATTGTATTTATCTGTACCGAAGGCTAACAGTTCAATAAAGCCGTCAAAATTGCATTTGTAAACTAGCAAGGAAGGAGAGAGCTCATGAAAACCAAAAACATAACATAAAACCAAGGAATATTACGCGAAAAACCCGAGACTTTCAATTTTTAATACTTTTAACGTGTTCGTTTCAGTAGCTTTGATTGTTTCCCGACCATCTTTTCCTTGGGCAGAAAGCAGAAGCAAACAAAGTACTAATTTTTATGTATTTCACGTATTTTACTATCTTAGGTACAATTTTCTATTGTCAATTTTGATTAGTATTAGGTTTAAAGCTTTATGTTTTAGGAAGCTGGTAGCAAGACCGCCACTGATTACTGATTACGTTTAATGTTATCTATCATGTATCTATATGTATGTATATCTGCCCACATAGAAGTGTATTTTTCTGTAAGTCACGGAGGGAGTCTGTGTGTGTGCTTGTTGTGCAGACTCCCAAGTTACTAGTTTATGTTTTTTGTTTGTCTCTATTTTGTACTCGGAAGCCTGAAGAACACAGAGTATCGACTGATGCACAACTCCAAGAAAAGGCCTACCTTACTCTCATTTGAATTCTCTATTGTTTGTCTACTTAAGAGATCTGGCGATCTGACGATAAAATGTATTCAATCCCGTGATCTGTGTTAGCTTAATTTTTAATACAATTCCTGCAAGACTCTGCTTAATGAATAACATCAAACTCTTGTAAATAAACTATACAAACTAACGTATACAGTAAGTGGAATCATTGAAATTACAAATTATACAGACAAAACTTACATAAATTGAATATATAAAGTCTGGGTATTTGAATTGGAAAGATAAAGAAACGAACAAACGTGAACAAAGCAAGTCTAGGCTTTGGTTTTTCTCAAACAAAGTAGCAGACAAAGAACAACAAAAAACATTTAACTATTAATTTAAACTTAACACATAAAGAATTAATTAAATGACTTTAAGTAAACTAATTAATAATGAATATGGAAAAGCAAAAAGAATGATTATGAGAAATGATAATAAAAACAAGAAAACAACTATTTTATAAAATACAACAATTTGTTTGGCATTTATTTGGGCTACAAGTGGGCTTACATTTCGGAGGGAGAGGGACATGCATGTCCTATAGAATGGAATGAAATGCAGCAAACTAATAAAATAACAATTTAAAACTAAACATGCATGCCGAAGTTTGTATACCCTTGCTGTTTGCAATTGGATCATTAAGTCAATTTAATAGAAAAAAAGGAAATATATAAAAGTTGTATATTTTTATATAGCATAAATTAATTTGGTTTTGATAAAATGAAAAAAAATAAACAAAATAAAGTTTAATCGTATAAAAAAAACAATATTTTAGATTTGAAATATCTAAAATAATAATCTTTATAAATATAAATGCTGAAAAAAACTAAAGTAATATAAAATTTCATTACATTTACCTTTACTTATTGTATTTACAGTTTGACAGTTACAGTTTTACATTCGTGGCTTTACATTTTCTGCCGATCGTTCCGAAGGCAGCTATATTATATAGTCCGATTTTCATAAAATTAAATACGAAATTCGGAAATAATAAAAAATTACCATATCTCAAAGAAGATGAAAATAAGTTGAAGAACAGCGAAGTTATAACTTACATTTGTCAATAATTTCCATGATATATGATCTATTCGTCCGATCCGACCTGTTCAGATAGCTTAAGGGGGTAGACCCATGTAGACATAGGCCGTTTTTTGGACCGTGTTTTGAAATATTTTCCTGAAGCAACTTAAATATTTTGACAGGTGAAGTATTATAAAAAAAAAACTGTTGTAAGTCGAAATATTTTTGAGATATGGGATGCAAAGGAACAAAGGAACTGGAACAAAAAGGTAATGTCATGGTCAAGACGATACTGGTGAACTGTCATAGTCGATTTCCAAAATTTAAATGCAATTATGATCTGGATGAATGCGGACAAGGAATAGTCAAGGAAATTTAGAAAATATTAAATAATACAAATTTGGAGCCACTTTGATTTTGTTTGTTTTTTTAAACGCACTAACGACCTATTCAAAAGATTCTAGTCTCTACTATGTCCGCATGTTTTCTGAACATATTCTGCAAATTTCAGGACAATCGTTTGAGTCGTTTTTCAGAAATCGTGTTAACCAGTTGGTAAAAGGTGGTTTCGAGAAAACGCAAAAAAAAATAATCATTCCTCTGTAAACTGTTCTGAAGAGCATGTCTTTTCACTGATCTAACTTTGTAACGACATCGAATATGAAAAAATTCCTTTAAGCACTTATAGTACAGACAGACAAACATGGCTAGATCGACTCGGCTGTTGATGCTGATCAAGAATACAAATACTTTATAGGGTCGGAAATGTCTCCTTCACTGCGTTGTAAACATCTAACTAAAATTAAAATACCCTGCAAGGGTATAAAAAGCTATATTTAAAGCTTTATTAGAATGCCAGATTATTATTTATTTATCAATTAATTAAGAAACTCCAAGGTCCGTTGTCAGAAAAGTAATTGGAAAATATTTAAATTATTTATTTAGTTGACAATTATGAGTTTAAGGCACTTTTTAACAATTCCTATTAGTTTACAAATACTTAAAAATTAGTATGCAAAAACAGTTTGGTTAAAAACGAACGAGACGAACACAATTCCGCAGAAGACTTCGCTAATGGTAAGGTAAGTCTCCACCAGTTAAGCACGTATCCGAGAGGCCTTCTTGCTCTTGTCGGCCTTGGGTGGTGGTGGTCCGCTGCGTCCAGCCTGCATGTGTCGGTTGTAGATGCTGTCGGGAGACATGTCGGATGAATTGGATATAAGGGCACAAATATGTAACTCACATTTTGTACGTCTCGGTCTTGAGATATTCGATAACGTGGCTTATGCCCAGAAGGTATTGCTCGGCAATGGGATTGACCCAGGGATTCTCCTCCATCTTCATCACCGACTTGTTGCTTAGCAGGTCCAGCTGGGAAACCTCCGGCGGCAAGACCTGCAACCTGTTGTTTTGAATGTGCAGCTCCCTCAGCCGCACCAGGTCTCCAACTTCGCGGGGCAGCTCCAGCAGATCGTTGTCGCGCAGTCCTAGGATCTGGAGGTTCTTCAGTTGGCCAACCTCCTTGGGTATGTACTCGAAATCGTTGTCGCCCAGATACAGGGCACGCAGCGTCTCCATGCCAAAGAAGTTGCCAGGCAGCACCTGCTCGTTCAGATTGTTGTAGGACAGGTCCAGGACCTCCAGCACGGGGAAGGCTCCAAAGCCTCTCGGCAGGTTGATCAGCCGATTGATCGACACGTTCAGGATGCGTAGCTTCGGCATAGATGACAACGACACGGGCAGTTCGGTCAGCTGATTATTGGAGAGATTCAGAATCTCCAGATTCAACAGATTGGCGATTCCCGGACTAATCACACTAATTTTGTTGTGCGACAAAGTTAGACGCGTGATGTTGGACATATTGACTAGAATAAATATTTACAAAGGGTGAATAAAAAACGGATTAGAAAACATATACACCTGGCCCTCGCTTAACACGGGGGTTACGTTCCTAGAAAACCTCGTATTAAGCGAAACATGGATTCAGTACAAAATAAGGGGTTACGTTCTAAAAATTCAAAATTGGCAGCAAACAAAACTTTTTATTGTTTAAATTTGGTATGTTTTTATTAAAGTTTCATACATTTGTTCAAAATAACCAAAAGTTATTATGTATATGCCTTTAATAAAAGCATACCATTCATATTTTCAAACTTAAAAGTTGGTATTTAATTAAAAAAGTTGCTTCTTATAATTAATTAATAGGTTAAACTTTATAGAAACTAAAAAATTTTAAAAAGTAAGGAGATCATATGTTTTATTCATATCATAATTCATAATTTATTATTTTATTTTATTTATAGTTAAAGCCAGTTTGTTTTAACAAGGTTTTTTTTTTGGTGGCTCCTTGTAAAAATCAGTAATTTTTGATTGTTTCGTGGCTTTTAAAGCTTCTTTATAGCACTCCTTATAAGGCAAAAGTATTTTTTCCAACTCTCTCTTAAACTTAAGTCGTCGTTCGATGAGCGGATCTGAATTTAGAAAGCATGATTCCAAGCTGCTAGCATATGCGAATCCCTCTCGGAGCTTATCTATCGTTAAACTCATCGGATCGGTTTCTTCAGAGCTGCTGTCATCTGATTGTGAATTGTTTGCTTCATTTCGATTTGGCATTTTTTTCCAGAAAAGTCCAGTTTCATCCGCATTGAAAACTTGATCGGGCAGGATTTCCTCTTCCTTAATGAACTCCTGAATTTCTTCTGGGTATGTGGTAGCACTTATATCATCGGCCGATGCTGCTTCGCCCTTAAATTTGAGGCTATGAATGGAGAACCTTTTTTTAAATTTCTCGAACCATCCATTACTAGCAACGAAATCTATGCTGGAAGAGGGCTCTCCATTTTGCTCGAGCAGTCCATAAATGCTGAGTGCCTTTTCCTGAATGATCTGCTGGCTTAAAGCGGCATTTATGTTGTAGCAATCGTCAATCCAAATGCTAAGTGCTCTTTCCATTTTCTCCAAAATTGGTGCACGTGCTCTATTGGTAAATTTTGTAGATATAGATGATACAGTGCTTCCAGCACGTCGTATTTCAGTTTCATTTTTTTTGATAGTGCGAACTGTTGCCTCATTAAAATCAAGACTTCTTGCAATTTCCGTGGCAGTTTGACCATTGTCAAAGCGGTTTAGAATTTCTATTTTCGTTTCTATAGAAATGACTTTTCGTTTTAAAGGAGGTCGGTGTTTTTTTTTCGCCATTGTACAAGCTGAAATTATTATCGATATTTTGCAATCGTTTAAGAACGTGGTTTTTAGCGTGTTAAAAGGAGGATGGAAGCAAATTTGAAACCTTGTAAGACCGAGTTCGTGCTAAAAGATTTCGTGTTAAGGTGTATGAGCAATTTTTGTATCTTAAACATTTCTACTTTTAATAAAATTAAATTAATTTTAATCATTTTTGTGTTTTCCATGGTTTTTTCTACTTGTAACCCTCTAGATCCCAAAAGTGACTTGAGGCACTTGTTATATTATCCACAATTCCCAAAAAACTAAAAGTTCTTTCTGCGTTTAAATATTTTTAGCTGTAAAGAATAGATGTTTAAATTTGATAAAGGTCTCAGAAGTTTTATACGGTACCTTTCATTTATACTTGCACAGAAAATATGTTTTTGTGTGAATTTTGAGCTGCCACTTTTAATTATAAAAGTTAAAATATGAAGCTAAACCAAATCATTATTAGTTTATCGAAAGGTAAGTTAATTTAGAATTAAAATAAAATATTAGAAAGGGCAGGCGTTGTAGCAGTGAAATAGTGATAGGCACCTGTTCAATTTATTCTCATCTCACAGGTAAACTAAAGGTACTACGTTTTTTTTTTTAATAGCATATTTGAGTTTAGAAGGCACAAATCACTGTAGAAATAATTATTTTATTTAACTCTTCCATTATTGTAGAAAGTGTCACTAGAGGGTTAAGGTATTTAGAAGCGTGCATAAGATTCTAATATATCTGATATATTTTTCTAACTTCAACATTTATCGACAACCTTATACAAAATTATTCAAATCAGATAAAGTATCTTAAGGTTTACTAGTTCAATAGGTTCTTTATAAACATAACTAAGTATCTGCTGCCAATTTCCAACAGGGCTTCAACATAAACAGCTGACTCTGCACGCAACAAGTATAGACGCAAAGTCTTAGATTGGCATGCGCACTGTTCTGAATGAATTCAATAATCTAATAGACAACAAAATGTTCTGTATTTCCTAAATTAATAAAAATGTAAAGAAATAGGATGGCTAAGATTGAAATGTTACGTTATTGAAAAGGTTCTTCTTCCCATTTGTTTACGTTTTGTTTTTACAATTTTCGTCAAGTAAACATACATACATATGTACACATGCACATATACGTTTGTATGTATGTATGTAGATATGTTGGCGTCATCGCAAAATATAGAACTGTGATTTGCTTTTAATAAAACATAAATGTTTCACTATCCAT